CGCAGCCCCACGCAGACAGGGCCAGCTATGAGCTCCGTCCCCAGCGCTGCATAGACCGGGCTGGTGTGAGCTCAGTCCACAGCACCACGTAGACAGGGCCAGCCGTGAGCTCAGTCCGCAGCACCACGCAGACAGGGCCAGCCGTGAGCTCCGTCCCCAGCCCCACACAGGCTGGGCTGGGATGAGCTAGACGGAGAGGCTGAGGGGCCAGTTTGACACAACCCCAGCCTGGGCTAGAGCTAGACTTCCAGTCCCCCACCCAGAGCTCCTGCAGAGGGACACCCCTGCCGCCCCCCTCCCACGCCTGGGATCAGGCAACCTCACCTTAGCCTGATCTCGAGCATCCTTCCTCCTCGCCCAGATCACCGCCAGCACGTAGGCCACGCAGAGGCAGCCCACAGCAGTTACCACCACAGGGTTGTCCTCAAACGTGGCAAAGAGCTCAGTGGTCTGGCGGACGTCGATGGCATTGGGCATCACCAGGAACGTGCTTCCAAAGAAGGTGAGGTGGTTGCAGAGGCAGTGGGCCTGGAAGGGGGGCGTCAACGGCCCCACCTGCAGCCCCCAAAGAGATGTGAGTGGAAGTGCTCGGGGAGCTCGGCCCTTGCTCCCGTGAGCCTGAGAGAGGAGAATGAGGTTCAGTTTGAGGGGTGGATGCTGGCTTGGGGAGACTTTTGGGGACCAGCATCAGGACCCTTAGTTTTTTTAATTTAACTAAAATAATAATAATAATAATAGTTTTTTGCCACAAGGTGTGTACACTTAACTGGAGAGAGACAGAGAGAGAGAAAGTGAGAAATCACCCCCCCCAGGGGGGACGGCTACACCACAATCACTTCTAGAGATTTTGGGTGAGCATACACACTCATACCAGGCATGAGTTTCAAGCCACCAGGTCTTGAACCACAGTCAGCCATATGGGAGTTCAGCGACCTAACCACCACGCCACCTGCTGGCTTGAGAACATTGCTAGTAGCACACACCTTTGCATCTGTCAGTCTCACCGTGTCCATCTTGTCCACTCTCTCTGCCTTTGTTAGGTAGGGAGTGCTGCAGATACCGTGGGAGTCCCCGTAAACAGCCGTTACTGCGGTGGGGAATGTACCCTTCTGCCCCGTGGCCGCCTGATGCGCACTCACAGGCATTTGTCCGATGCTAATTCGTTTTGTTTGCTTGTTTTCACCAGGTGGTGTGTATGTTCACCTGAGGGGGAGAAAGCACTCCCGATGGGACAAGGCAACACCACGGTTCCTTCTCCTCCATTCCTCCACCCTGTCGGGGTTTGGGGCACACATGCACACACACCTGGTGTGCTTTTCAAGCCACTGCGACCAGGATTTCAATGAGGTGGGCCATGTGGGATTCAGCCCCTTCGCCATTAGGCTATGGGCCAGCCTGAGTGCTAGTTTTATACCTGTCATGGGCCGGGCACTGAGAGGACAGCCAAGGTGACAATCCTTTCTCCTTTCGCCCAGAACTTTCCTGCCTTTCAAACTCAAAGTACTGAGCCCTGGGAGGTAGGCGGTTGGTCAGCTTATGGCAAAGAACAGTCAGTCTATGGGGACCACGAGAAGAACAGAGGAGGAGTGTTTGAACCCAAAGCCAGCATCTCAGCAGCAGGAAGGTGGGCATCAGCTGGGGCATGTGATCTGTCTCCATCTGGGAAGGGAGAGGACCTCCATCTAGGCTCTTACGCACACCCTGCATGGTGGGGCAGGCCATCTCAACCCCCTCAGCCAGCGTGCAGCCATCCCCAGGACCAATGTGGTGGGTAAAATGATGAGTTCAAGAGGTGAAGGGGGAGGGGGAGGGTTCCAGGCAGGGCCAGGCCAGAGGGCACTAGGGAGAGGGCCTAGTGAAGGGAGTTGTGTGAAGGGAGGGAGTGGTGAGATCCCGAGGTGGCTCTGAGGGCTGCAAAGCTGATGTCTGTCTGCAGGACACTGCCACGGGTCTGGGCTCGCTGGGGCAGAGATACACTGACCTGTAACAGGTTTGATTGCAGTTAAAAGAGCCAAGTGACGGGACCAGCATGATGGTTAAGGCAGCTGGATTCCAGATGGCCGACTCTGCAGTTCAAGTCCCAGATCCAGCAGCTTAAAAGACATGTCAGGGGTGTGTGCACAAGTACCCGAAATCCTGAGAGGAGAATGGATAAGGGGCTGCAGCATGGCCATCTCCTTTAAAGGCCGATTTCACACTTTTTCTCCTTCTCTCCTCGCTCTCTGTCTCTCTCACAGCACCTCACCGACAGGGCCAGTGTAAGTCAGTCCGCAGCACTGCACGGTCAGGGCCAGCCATGAGCTCCGTCCACAGCACCGCACAGACCGGGCTGGTGTGAGCTCCGTCCCCAGCACTGCACAGACCGGGCTGGTGTGAGCTCAGTCCGCAGCACCACGCAGACAGGGCTGGCTGTGAGCTCCGTCCCCAGCACCGCACAGACTGGGCTGGTATGAGCTCAGTCCGCAGCACCACGCAGACAGGGCCAGCTATGAGCTCCGTCCCCAGCGCTGCATAGACCGGGCTGGTGTGAGCTCAGTCCACAGCACCACGTAGACAGGGCCAGCCGTGAGCTCAGTCCGCAGCACCACGCAGACAGGGCCAGCTGTGAGCTCCATCCCCAGCACCGCACAGACCGGGCTGGTGTGAGCTCAGTCCGCAGCACCACGCAGACAGGGCCAGCTGTGAGCTCCCTCCCCAGCACCGCACAGACCGGGCTGGTGTGAGCTCAGTCCGCAGCACCACGCAGACAGGGCTGGCTGTGAGCTCCGTTCTTCAGGAGCACCCTGGGACCTCCCTCAGCCCAGTGCCAGCCGTGCTCCCCGAGTCATTCGTGCCAGTCAGGGATCACTTTCCTCTCCCAGGGCCCTGGGGAGACCGGCATCCACTAAATAATCCAGGCAGGGGTCAAGGCAGCTTTCGTGAGTTAGGGACGCCTAGGTGGGGCAGAGGCAAGCGTGGTATTCCAGGCACAGAACAGGCCATGCCTGGTCCTGAGGAAGGATGAAAACACCACACCAGAGGCACGACCAGGGGACCCCTGTGAGCCAGACACCCCTTCCCAAGCCACATCATCTTCTTCATCTCGCCCCCTCCTTACCTGGCACCCAGAGGTATCCCACATCTCCTGGACCTCGTCCCAGAACACGCAGTGGGACAGGAAGGTGCTGATGCCGACTGTGAGGTTTCTGCTGGGGGCCAGCTCCAGCTCAGACTCGGGGACCACGGTCAGATAATAGATGCCTTCTCCAAAATGCAGGTCTTCCGGGCTCAGGATCCACGTGGACAGCTCGTCTGCAGGCAAGGGGCGCTGGGTCAGCCCAAAGCTGCCTTGAAACTGGGGCTAGCTTCACAGGTGAGGGGACCGAGCAACATTGCAGACAGCAGACCCTGGAGGTCTCACTGATGTTCTCGGGGTGCCCTCTCCCCCCGAGACTAGGAACACAGAAGAAACATTCTGAAGAGTGTCAGTGAGCAGAGCCAAGTCAGACTGGGCTCGAAGGCTGATCCTGTTTCTAATTGGCTGTGGGGGCTCTGACCAGTGACTTAACTTCTATTCCTTTCTGGAAAGTGGAGATTTCAATAGTTCCCACCACCCATGAGGATTGCAGTGAGGTCAGTCTGTAAGTGCTGGTCGACTTCTTCAGGGCATAATAATATTAATAACATCAACAAAAACAAAAACCAGAATGTGGCAAGGGATTTATTTTTTTTTTGCTTTCTTCCCATGGCTCTGACTCTCCCGTTGCAGACTGCCCCCCCACCCAAGAAGCAGCTCAAGAAACTGCTGGGAACAGCTACCTGGGGCAGCCGTGGGCGGCAGGTGAGTCTGGGCGTCGTAGCTGGTCTCGTTGGGGTGGTAACCATAGCCCAGCCTGAGCGTGAGTGCGACACCCGGTCTCCAGTGCAGTTGGACCCCCAAAGCCGCCTCTCCTGAGGTTAGGTTCACCCACAAAGCCTCGGGATTGGTCAGACTCAACACAGTCGGCCCGCTGTGTCCTTCCGGAAGCCGGGGCAGCAGGATCTGCCATGGGACACAACCAAACCAAACAGGGGTATGCTGGGAAGGAGGCCCCAGGAGTGGCATCAGGGCTGCATTTGGAACCGGGCACGGTCAGCACCGGGGCTCAAAACCCACTGTGGGCTTGGCCTTAACTAACAACCACAGGCTGGGGGCGTAAAGCAGCTTGGGTTTGTCATCTTACACGCTGGAGGCTGGAAGTCCAAATTCGGTCCCACAGGGCCAGCACAGGCAGGGCTGGTTCCTTCTGGAGACTCCTGTTTCCTCGCCTCTTCCAGCTCCCCGAGGCCACCCACATTCCTCGAAGCATGGCCCCTTTCTATCTCGCCCAGCCCCGTGCTCGGTCATCAGTCATCTTTTCCTCTCTTGTCGTCAAGTCCCCCAGCTGCCTTGTCCTCTGATAAGGATCCTTGTGATACCACTAGGTCCACCGGCTGACCCAGAGGAACCTGCCACTTCAAGTTCTCCCACTCTGTCACATCTGCGAGGTCCCTGTGACATTTAAGGGGTATTCTCAGGCACCAGGGGTGCGGGCGTGGATCTCACTGGAAAGTGTAAATGAATTCGTCCCGAATGAGGAAACGGTGAAAGACTGGGAAAGGCCACTACAATCCAGAGGGAACCTGGACTCCTGTGGCACCATGGCATGCTTATATCTGCTTAATTAAAGGAAATGTAGCCGGCCAGTTCAGATGTTTTTAAAGGAGTCGTTTTTAGTTTTAGGGTGTGTGCACTTGCTAGAGAGAGAGACAGAGAGAGGGAAAATGAGAAATCACTCCCCTAGGGGAGATGACCACCCCACAATCCCTCCTTCATTCTCCCATTTGGGATTTTAGGCGTGTATTCACATGCGCCCAGAACGTTTTTCAAGCCACCAGATCTGGGACTCAACCTATGGAGTTGGCCATGTGGGATCCAGCCACCGGAACCCCACGCCCCTGCTGTCCCTTTTTATATTTTTCGGGGAGAGATTTTTGCGATAGGGCACATGTACTTGATAGAAAGACAGAGAGAGAGAGAGAGAGAGAGAGAGAGGCAGAAAGCAATAAATCACACACCCCCCGCGCCAGGGGGGATGGCCATGCCACAATCTCTTCTCCTCCATTCTCTTCTTGGGATCTTGGGCACGCACACACACGCGCCTGGTGTGGGTTTAAGCCACCGGGTCCGAGCCTTGAACCACGGTCGACTATGTGGGAGTCCAGCGACGTAGCCATTAGGCCATCTGCTGGTCCCCCTCTGTCCCTATTTCTATTTATCTCTTCCATGAGTGAGAGAGGCAGCACCGCCCCCAGGGTCTTGACACTGTGATCCATCCCCAGCAGCAGCCGGCTCTGGGTCATGGCACCAGCATGCCTAGCTTACTCAGGGAGGTCTCCAGACACGAACTCAGAACCTTCCCATGTGGGTCATCCTCATGGAGCGATGTGTTCACTGCTGCACCAATGTCTGTCACCAGCTGGGCATTTTAGAGGCTACCCTGTGGCGTGGTTTGTACAGCAAAGACAATTAAACTTCCAATTGACAGATTTCTATAACCAGGACAACTTCTTGGCTATGTGCTCAAAGACAGGTGAATGAACGTACATTTATACTCTTAAGTTAAATACAATGTTTAAGGTAGGGTTGGGATAATTCTGAATGATTCTCTTCTTTAAACTCTTTTTTTTTTTCATAACTGGTCAATTTATTTTTTTTGAGAGGTTTTCGCTATAGGGCGCGTGCGCTCGCCAGACAGACAGAGAGAGACATAGAGACAGAAAGCGAGAAATCACCCCCCAGGGGGGATGGTCATGCCGCAATCCCTTCTCCTCCATTCTCCTCTCGGGATCTTGGGCAC